AAGGTGAGTTAGACTGAAGTAAAATGTAAAAATTGCAGTTTTTACAGAAATACCTGGAGTAAAATTAATTGTTAAAAAGCATTTCCTGAAAAGTATCAATTATTGTTTCAGGTTTCCTCTCTCATTTTAAGACCAGCGTGAACTTTTTATGTAATCACAATGATCATACATTAATAATATTCACAAAAAGAAAATGTTCTTCAGAAAACACATTTTAATACCTTAAAGTTTATTTGTTTCAGAAGTGTATATAATAAACCTGGTTAATTTATTGGGTTAGATTTATTTAATCTAACCCAATTTGTTGTATATGTCTAAAATTGCAAATTTGAAAAAACTTCAAAGAACTGTAAATTAAATAGGTATGACACTATTAATCCAAACTTATGATTTAATTATTTAAACAGGGCTGTAAAAAGCATTTAAAAGAAATTGTCTTTTTGTATCACATGGCTAATAGTACACGTATGACATCGGCATGAAAAAAGTACCTTTCTTTCTTTGAAATATTTAAGCAGTCACATCCTTTTAAGACTCTCTGCTTCAAAAACTGTGCTCAGTTCATGTGCTATACACATACATGTGCATGTCCAGGTAACATTTCTGCATGGGCTATTAGTGAAGAAGTTGGTGAACATGTCTATAGAAACAGCTGTTGTTTGAACTATAGACCAGATTTAGATACTGCACTAAATTATGTTTTGATTAATCTGGTATGTGGAGTAACCTGTAATTGCTGAATTGATACAATATCCCAAATCATAACTCAAACAGCAGTTTCATTACCGCTCAGTAGGAGCTCTATCATCCATCCATCCATCCATCCATCCATCCATCCATCCATCCATCCATCCATCTATCTATCTATCTATCTATCAATCTATCTATCTATCATCTATTTACAGAGAGATACCAGTCATCTCCCAGCCCTCAAATTTTAAGAGGGTGTACCTCTGTGGCACATGGAGCTGCATCAGTGGGCACGCAAGCCATAGGTATCATGGGTATACCCTCTTAAAATTTCAGAGCTGGGAGATGGAAAGCCTCTGGAGCCTGGGGAGGGTGAAAAACAGAGCTACCGGGCCCACCAGAAGTCAGGAAATGGGCTATTTCTAGCCTCCGGAGGGCCTCCAGGGTGGTGGGGGAGGCCATTTTCACCCTCCCCAGGCTCCAAAAGGGGGCACAGCGCGGAGGACATTAAATTATGGGTGTGGGCACCTGCACATGCGTGTGTGTGTGTGCTTTTGGCACCCAAGGGGAAAAAAGGTTTGCCATCACTGGGGTATACAGTAAATTCACATGCTATATGATGCTAAACTGTAATGAAACCTGTTTGATTAATGATTTGGGATATTGTATCAATTCAGCAAACACACACACACACAGCAATATTGTATCAATTCAGCAAACACGTAGGCGCACACATATTTTATCTGGTTTTTCTCCTTAATCTATCTATTCTTGTAAAACCAGAAAAATTTAAGTACTTCCTCCTATGGAAGGAAGTGTCTATAGAGATTTTCAATCAACCAGTTAGAATTAAAGAAGCTTCTTGGATGAAAAGCAAAGGGAAAACAATCAAGAAAGTCTAGTTGCCTTTTGGGAAAAGCATCTTTGATTCTTCCTTCTACATTTTTTTCTGCCATGAAGTGCATCCTTGACAAAGAAGAAAGCACTTATTTATAATGACCTGTATAGAGAGGTAATATACAGTCATAGTTCTCGACTTACAACCAGAAATGAGCCCAAAATTTATGTTGCTAAGCAAGAAGTTGTTAAGTGAGTTTTGCTCCATTTTATTTTTCTTACCACACTTGCTAAGTGAATCATTGCTAAGTGAATCATTGCAGTTGTTAAGCTAGTAACACGGTTGGTCAGTGAATCTGGCCTCTACATTGACTTTGTTTTTCAGAAGGTTGCAAAAGGGGATCGCGTGACTTTGGGACACTGCAACTGCCATAAATACGAACCAGTTGGCAAGTGTCCAAATTTGGATCATGTAACCATGGGGATGCTGCAATGGTCACTAAGTGTGAAAAGCAGTCAAAAGTCACTTGTTTCTGTGCTGTTGTAACTTTGATCAGTCACTAAATGAATGGTTGTAAGAAAGACCCAGAATCAAATCTAGCATGACCCTTAGAAACTCTGTGGGTCAGTGGCTCTGTCTCTCTCTCTCAGCCTAATCTACTTCACAGGGTTGTCACTTCAACGAAAAACAGAGGAGAAAGAAGGGCTATGCATGCCACTTTAAATTCCTGAATGGAAAATGAGATATAAATCTAACAAATAAATAAATAGTGGCATTTAGCATGTTCTTTTAGCTAGCACATACAAAATCAACCATTTGAATAAAAATTTTCCAACAAGTGAAATATGTAATAATGTATTCCATTTGTAAGATATGTAACAGGTAAATGAATTTCAGGCTTGTTATAATTAAATCTGGAACTGATTTCAGTTGCCCTAGTTCTTTGAGCAATAAACAAACAAATGAGAATGCTACTTTCTCTCACAATTATTATTACTGTACCTGGACAGACTTTCATTGGTGACATGCTCTAGCAGCTCATGGTCATCTCCAAGTTTACAACAGGACAAATCCAAATATGTCAGACCTTGGAAAGATTTAATTTCTTCAAGTTTTTCAGAGATAATTAGAGAACTGTAAAGAATAAAAACAAAAATGTAAGCTCCTACAACTTAGCGTTGTATTGGGCACTGTCTTCTATTGCTGAAAATTTAATACTACTAATCATCTTTACAAACAAGATTATTTTCTACAATATTTTGTTTGGTTTGGAAAGTAGTTTGGGCCTCATATGTTTTGGGAAAAGCAACAACATATTTTGTTAATGCCCAGCCTAAGCCACTTCTAATTATGCTCAATTCCATTTCAATATAGTATTGAAAAGAAGTCATGGAGAAATGTGATAGTAAAATCATACAATACAGTCAGGATCTCAGAAGTAATCTGTCTAACTTCCTGTTTATGCTTGTTCTATTAAAGCAAGGATTATGCTTATTGTTTAAAGCACAACTACCATAATACCAATTTTCTTTCATTTACAATTTACAAAGCATCTCAACAAAAGGCAAATTTGATGAAGGTACAGCTGGGATCAAAATAGTTAGGTGCAAAACTGCAAGGAGTAAGCCTTAATTCATTTTCTTTAGATGTCAATACAGTTTATTTTCAGTTGACTTTGTTTAAGAAGGTTGTAAGTATTCCTTTGCATTTAAAATCTACAGTAATACTATAGAAAATAGGATATTTTTTTGGGGGGGGTGCAGATACATCAACTTCTATAATTCTCAATGAGCATGAAGTCTTAACACATTTCTGGGGTAAATTAAGTTGAAGAAGGCTACCCTGTATCTTTTGAAAACTTATTTATACGTTTACAACATTATTTCTCATATAAAACAGACACTACAGCAGCACAATTTAAAAAACTAATGATAAAATAATAAGATTAGCTTATAAATATCAAGCCAGTATGATGGGATTTGAACCTGTGCTGTATTACATCTTAGGCAGATGTCTTAACCATTAAGCCACAGGTCCTCCTCCTTATCAGCTGAAGCCAGGGAAGTAGGCTATCAGCTCGTCACAAGAGACCATCACGACAGAAACCCAATATTTTTTTTACTGTTGCCTTTGTTACATTTGTGTTGTATTTATAAGC